TTAATTAAGACCTCATCTATATTACGATTAAAAGTGTAACAAAGAGCGGAATTTTTTGTTTTACTAAAATACCCCAATTTTTTAATTAGATCCCTCCCTCATGGTAAGGACAAAAATGTAATCTGAACAATCATTTTTCTCATCATTCAAATCCCTATTATTAAGTCTTATAATTAAGGTATTAATTCCAAGTAACATTAATTGAACCTTTTTCTTGACTACAACACATCTACTTTTGAATTTGGTCTCTCCACTTGTGAGGGAATAAAATATAATTTGAACTACTACGTTTATCCTCACTCAATTCCCTTTCATTAAGTCTCATATTTAGGGTATTAACTCCCATTTTTCATTAATTAACTCTTATATTAATTGACCATAGTAAAAAAATAAGTGTGTGCTAAAGAATAATTGCTTTTATTGATGATAAAAGTAAAATAGAAATTTAAATTCAACTCAAAACAGAGTTGCTATCCTAGCTATTTGGTAGCAAGTCAACAATTCAACCTTTTAGGTTAAATGTATAAACCCTTGATGTCATAACTAAATAATAATAAAAATTAAAAATGAAGAAAACAAACAAGAGTATAAAAATACCAAAAAAAAATTGTAGAAGACATTTGAACGCATCTCTAATATCATATATTTATCATATTAAATAAAATTAAGTGTAATAAACAAGAATAAAATTATAAAAAAAAATTGGGAAACATATTTTTAGATTGTCACTGTTGCAAGTTAGATATTTTTTAATAGAAAGGGAAGAATGGGGAAGATGGGGCAAGCGTTTTTGCTCAACAAGGGGTACTCCTGGTATTTCTTAAAGTACTAGTGGGCAAAGACGGGAAGAAAAAAAAACATATTAAGCAAGAAACCACCCAGATATGAGTCCTGATCTCCTGCCCACGAAAACTCTGCCCATGGTTATCGTAGCCACACATGAAGAACATCTCATCCTCTACATAGTATTATGCAGGGGGAGATGTTCCCAATTCACAGGTATAGTGTATTGTGGGTAGGCATGGACAGGAGATCCGGAGTCCCCAGAGACTGCTTTTTCTAAAGTTCTATTTAACAATCGCTTTTTGGGGGGTGATTTTGGCTTCTAAAACGCAATAAGAAGTGCTTAATTTAAACCCCGCCAAATGCAGCCTTAAACCTTACTCAGTTAAATTCAATTAGATTCAACTTGGAAGGAGCATAAATATAAATATGTAGAGTACAAATTCTTGTATTTTATATTATTTTTGTAATGCAAATATGTAGAGTTCAAATCTTTGCAAATCATATTTTGTATTTATTTATACTTTAACAGTATGTTTGGTTTGAAGGAAAAAATAGGGAAAGAAAAAGAAAGATAGGAAAACCTTCACAGATCTTGTATGGATTTTCTTATCTTTTCCTTCCTTTCCCTACTTTCCTTCAAACCAAACATAGCCTAAATAAAAAACGAATGTCTTAATTAACATAAATCCAATTGACCGCACGGCGGACCAGCTTTAGACAATTCAGAAGTTTGAAACTTTTATCAAAAAAGACCAAACATGTCCAGAAGATCAATTAGTACCAATGAAACTCAATTTTGAGCTGTCAACCATGTTTGAATAACTTGTTTTAATGATGTCTGATGTTGTACTCATGTATTTTAAATATCTGACCAAGATATAGCTCAAAACCACAATTCCTTAAGTTAATCAAATATTCAAAATATAACTGTAATGACCCAAATGATCCCTTAACTTTTGCATGCCATTGGAAGCAATTATGGTGAGCTAGAGCTTCGTATAGATGAGGCCTGAAGAACAGATGGGAACTGTAAAAGCATGCCAATACCAATAAGTTCAGAGATCCTCATCAGCAATTCAAATGTTTGGATTAGTTAGATTACAAGGTGACCTAGCTAATTCCATTGCAAATGCAAGTTATCCTTTGATTAATCATAAAATTAAATAACAATGCATTTCTTATAGGTCTGTTGGTGCTGCTGCAGAAGTTTTCTCTCTGTATATTTTACGATCAGATTCATGACAATGATGAGCCTTAGATATAAACTTACAGATGGTTCTGTAAAACCAAGAGAAAATGAACAAAATTAAGACTAAAAAGAAAGTCAGAGCATAATAACTTATTGATGGTTCTGTAAAACGCTTAATTGTTTGTGGAAGCTTTAAAAAAWAACTTTTTCAAAGGATAAGTATGCACAGAAATCGAAGTCCACTTTTATCATTCTAGATGCATACAGAAGAGCATGAGAGAGGAACTGCTGAAGTGGTGCCTCTTGAATGTTGAAGATGCTAAATCGTGACCTGAAAATTTACTATTGAAGATGTCCAGCGCCGAATGTTCGTCAGGTCTCTATTATTGAGATCAGCTTTGCCAGGCCCGTTCGAGCAATAGTGGATTAGCTGGAGACAAAAGCATACGCACCCGGTTGAACTACCTACCATGGTTGAACATACCAGTGTTCAATGCAACTGAGTTTCAGATAGGGCCCACATTGAGCAATGGTATGTTCAACCGTGATAGGTAGTTCAGCCGAGTGTGTATAATTTTGTCTCTATCTCATCCCAACGGGCTAAGAAGCAAATTTGGATTATTGCCACCGCACAAACGGTAGACCCGTAATCATATTCATATGGCATGATTTTGCTGTCAGAAATAGTAGGGACTTGTGCGATGTATGTGTTGAAAGTTAAATAATAGGAAATCGGATTCAGTCACTGCAAAGCCTGTTCGAACACTCATTATAGTCTTGCATTGGAAATATCTCCCTATAAAATAAAGCACAGAAGTACGAAAACGTTCCTGACATGATTTTTAAAATCAAACCGGACCGGATGGTCAGATTGGAAAAATCAGGAATGACCAGTTTTGTTTTACCCCAAAACCGTTATTTCACCAAAAACCGTTGGTTTGGCAGAAAACTATTGACCGAGCAATCGAACGTTCGAATCGTCCAACGGTTTAGCCATTCTTTTATTTTTATTTTTTTTTAACTTTTTTATTTTTTTGTCAGAACAGATTGTCTGTTTGATTGGAACGATCGGACCGTTCAACCCAAAAACCAAACCCCTGACCGATTCATTGTCCGATTCAATTTTAAAACCTTGTTTCCCGATGCAAGGCTGTTCGAACGCAGTTGGGATGAGCTAGAGACAAAATTACACCCTATGTTCTTAGCATAGGGTGTAAATGGATGAGATCACGATTGGATTCGAATCCATTCTATTTGTGTGGACAATGACAAAAATAGTTGAAAAAATGTTTGTGTTTTTTTTACGTACTGTTTTATTTTTATCCTATTAATAATTTGTTGAATACATCCAACATTCTTAGCGAATTTGAATTCAGATTAGTCTTTGTAAGATTTGTTGAAACATCGTATTAGATCAGATATAGGATTTGTATTATTGAATCAGATTCCAATATACTGATACGATCCATTTGCATGGCTACTCATGTCAACCTCACAACACATAGGCAATTGTGTCTACAACCAATAAAATTTAATTAACACTAGAAATTAATAAATAATTTAATAATTAATACCAAAGTAATTAATTAATTTCTTAATTAATGAATGAACTATATTAACTGGTAGAATATTTTATTAGTAATTAAATCATAATTATTTAATAAGCATTTAATTATTATACAAATTTAAATTTAGTTTAATTATTTACATAATAAATAGAAATTCATTAATATTTTAATAATTAATAAATCATAATTAAACTAATTAATAAAATAGTTAATATAAAATCTTAATTATTTAAACATATAATTATTATCTATTGAATAGTCTTTTAAGGTGTCTAAGGAGGAATAGAATAGATTGCAGGGTGCAATATTCCTAAAGGTATGGTTTTTTAGGTAGACAAATATGAAATGTTTCCTCTAAAGCTTTCATGTCAAAACCTTTACTCCTTTGGTGGTCTTTATGGTACCATCTATTCTGTATTGCAACATTATTTGCGTGAAGAGATTATGTTGTTCTGATCTGAACCGCAAATTTATGCAAATCTAAACAGGATAAAAATTTTGCACTTGGTTTAGATCTGATTATGCTGTTCTCAAATATGTACAGTGCAAATACATAAAAAACAATACAAAATAGAAGATTGTGTACTCTACATATTTGTATTTGTACCCCTTCCAAATGGATCAGCTTAAYTATGATTTGTACATTCCTATTTGATGTAAAATTTGTACTTTTTAATTTGTCTCGTTTCATTGACCATGCGTGCAAATTTTACATTTAAAAATTGATCAAAAAATTGAATCACTTTCTCCTACGCTAGTTTTCTTTCATACGAAGTGGGGATCAAATGATTCACATAATTTTATTTCCTATGTCTTCTACTTAGGGGTGTAAAGAGATCGGTACCCGAATTCGAATCCGATTAGAAAATCCGATATTCGAATTCGATTAATTAATTATTTTAGATAATTAATAAAAATAAAAATAAATATTTTATTGATATAAAGTATATAAATATATAAATTATATAAAATATTTTATATATTGTATGCAAGAATTAAATAATCGGTCGAATTCAGATATTTATCGAAACGAATCAGGTCATATCCGAATTCGAATCCGATTAACTATTCAGTAAGAATAGGATATCCGAATTCGACTGATTATATAGTCGAATTATCAAAATTCGATTCGATTATGTTAAATATCGAATTTTCGAATACCGTTGACACCCCTACTTCTACTCCCAATCAAAAACAAAAGTAAAAAGAAAAAGAATAGAGCTAGCCTTCCTTCATCATTCCCTTTCATAAAAAGTAGATCAGAATTTACATCAGCCAAATTTTCACTCCCATGCATTAATATTGGTGCAAATTTCATTTGGATTGCGAACAAATAGTTGAGATCAAGGCTAAGTCGAATGGAATGGATTTATACTGTAAATAGCTCTTAATTTAATTTTGATTCCACATAGAAAGAATCATATTTTATTTAAAAAAATAGAAAAATCAATATTCAGTACATACAGAAGAATTAAACAACAAATGTATATATATGATAATGACCATATCACACAAACAGGAACAATGGGTTGAATTATAAGATTACCCCTCAAATAAGGAGGGATCAAGAAAATAAGACAGAGCCAACGATCATTACCCGGTTGATTTATGGGCATACTGCAGGAAACAATTGTTACTGGGTAATTCTTATTCAAAGGCATTAATATATATTAATTGAGATGGTAGCTAGGGAGGGATGTATATATCCAAGCTAGCCAAGCTTAATTAGATCAACTAAGCTTGATTTTGAGTTTATTGATGATGTCCTCCTCTACTTGGAAAGCCTTGGTCAACACTTGATTGGGGATGGTGGGGGTTGAAGCAAAGAGAGTGTTAGGTAAGAGGACAGCCCCGGGCAGCTGGCTGTTGAAGGTGGTGAGTGCCAAAGCCTTTCCCTTACCGACGTTGCGCTGAAAGTGCACGAGCCCCCTGGGTATCACAAACATCTCTCCCACTGTCAAGACCTTGGAGTGGAAAACATTTTCAGTGGTGACAAACCCAACAAGCAGCTTCCCCTTAACGACCACCCCCGCCTCAGTCGCGCGCGGATGAGAGTGAGGAGGGTTGATTCCACCGGGCGCAAAGTCGACGCGGTTCATGGATAGCCCCAGGGTGTTGAGCGCCGGGAAGGCAAGCACGTTGCCTGCAGTCACGTTCGATCCAAAGCGGTTGTTTGTGTTCCCTTCCTTGGTGAACCCACTGAAGAAGAAGTCGTCGGAAGTGACCTGAGTTGCAGGCTTGCAGGGGAACCCATTCACAGATGGCTTTCCTTTCATGTCCGCAACGCAGAAATCTTGGAGAGGATCGGAGTCGGAAGAAAGGGTAGGTGAAGGCAGGAACGCTGCTACTATCAGGAGGAGAAACAGGTAGACGGGACCTACTGTTCTTGAAACAGCAAGCTTGCTGGCCATGGCGTTTGTGTCCTTAATTAATTTGTCAAGACTAAAGACTAATGGGGTGGTGGTTGTTTCCTGAACCTCCTGATCTTTGATCTTTCAAGGTGTGTTCAGCGATGGAGGATTGCTTTCCTTATATAATAGCAGAAAAAACACAGGAAAAGTGGATGCACAAAGAAATTAAGCCAGATTAGGTAATCCTCTCAAGTCTCGAGTTGAAATGGTCGTAGCTAGCTTAAGCTCAGAAAGGAAGGTTCTTCTCCTCCAGAGTCCAGACCAGTTTTAAAGACCTCTTCTTTAAAGCAAAATTTCTGATCCAGACAGAGTGATGTTTGACTTTGTAAGGTTTAATTAGATGCACAAGCATGACTAATGTTGAGGATGAGATAGTCTTTTCTTGAAACAAAATGAGAGAGATCTTTGAATTTGTTCAGAGGAGGTTCTAGATGTAAGACACCTATATAATTCGTTCTATGTTATTTATACACAGTTATGATCATTTAATTAAGAGGATTATGTGATTGACAGACTGAGATTGGGTCTCCAAAAGAACAATTCGTTTTTCTGGTGGATCAAGTCTCTTCGTTAATTTGGACGACCCAGTCGTGTTGATACCAAATCTCTGCAAATGTAAAGTTTTCGACATTGGCAAATGGCAAATCTTACTTCTGTGTGGAACAAGCTGCACTTGATCAAATTCAAAGGATGATTTGCAGTCTGATCTTACCGACTGTCAAGCCATCAAGTCTCGTTGTGATGATGCTAATCTACCCAAGCAGATGCTGGTCGATCTTTTAATTGTTTACATATAATCTGTTATCTTTTTCCTATCAAGGTTATTTTTCTATCATTCAAAACGTGTGATTCAAGAAATTGTTGATTTTGTCAAATTTTAGAAATGGTTTACAACTTTGGCTTGGAATTGATAGTTATTATTAAAATTAGGGTAAATTGTAGACAATCACTCGCTTATCTCTCGGAAGTCGGAACTATGTTTTGCGACAAAGAGATCCCTGAACTTCTACATTCTAGCACCTTCCTCCCTCCCTTCAAACCCCAAACTACACTTCTGGTTTTGTTTTCCTAAAACCCCAACTCTCACATGCTTCTCCCAAGTCCCAACTTTCTTTTTGACAAAGTTCATCTTGTAGTCTTGTAGACACTCCTCAAAGAACAATCATCTCAGAAGTGCCTTGAGAACAAATCAAGGTTTTTACAAGGAACAGTTTTGGGAACTGGTTCGAGTTCAACGATCCAACTGTCGAGTTTGAATGAATGGCCCGCTCTGACTTTAAAAAATAAATAAAATAAAAAATCATTATCCGAATTGACTGTTCAATGGTTTAGCTGCCCAGATAATACATTGTCATTTTGAATAACTTGCAAAAACTTCCTTCTACTTTTTTGGATATATATAAAAATAAATTGATATTTCAAGTAAAAAATAACGCTAAAAACTCTCCTCACAAGATAGGTTAGACCAGGAAACCGAGGTTTTGCTTCTGTTTCTAATTGTAGCATAAATTAAGACGGCTTCAATTTGTTTCCTTCGGACTTACCTAAAACCAAAAGAAAGATAGCATAAAACTTTATCCGGTGATGAGAGATGAACTTCGTCCATAAGATCGATGGTTATCTTTTCAGACTATAGATATAGTGTTTGAATTTTTTTTTATACACATGGCAATCGAGGCCATCTTCGGTTCAATTCTTATTCCCATTTATTCTTTCCAATAATAAAATTCGGACAAAAATGGGTAAAAATGAACATAATGAGTGGTCATGAATCAAATGTTTTTTTTTTCTAAAAAAAATGAATTCTTTTTGTGGCAAGGATGAGAATAAATTCTGAACCCATTTGGTTATACATTTCATTTTCATTCTTTCTATCAACCAAAATAGTAATATAGGTTTACATATACATATAATACTCGTTAGTAGATATATAGTAGAAACATGCACGACTCACACCAACAAAACATAAATCGACCATGTGGGTCCTACATCAATAACACAAAATATTAAAAAAAAAAAAAACAAGAAATTAGGAAAGCTTTTGCATTTGGCTGCATAGAGAAAATATAAAAGAAAATTTTAAGTAAGCAATCAATACCTATTAAAAACTAATTAAAAGGAAATTAGTCTGTTGATTTGAATAAGAAGTTGTGTAAATGAAGAAAAGAGCTTGCAACTTCAAAATAGAAGTGGAATTTAAAAATTATAAAATTAAGTACATGAAAAAGTATAAAATGTATAGTAATTTCATCAAATTGAAAATAATATATTAAATAAAGATAATATATTAAGAAAGTCATAAAATATGGTAAAACATCATAAAACAGTGCCTCATAGAAGTTCTATGCTGGTGCCTGGCGGTCATAAACTACCAACCAAGGTTTCAAAAACCCTCTGAATGGTTTTTTACCAATGAATAACTAACGGTCAATGCCTATTAGCATAAGTTTTCACAATAGATTACCGGATATACTAGCATACAACTTATATTGAAGAATGAGAACGATAATGAGAAATATGAGGCACCATTTTTTTCATGCTACAAATTAGCTCGAATTTCATGTCATGAGTTTATTTTTCATTCTAAAATGAATGAGTCCTATGACAAGAATTTTGTAACCAAATCATCTAATGTTATTAGTTTTTGCCTAGAATGAATAAGAATTGAAAAAATGAGGCTCATAGCAGTGAATCAAACATGGCCAAAGTTGACATAGTAAGTATCACCCAATTGACCACATCACTCGATCTTTCTTGAATAAAAAACCAAAAGAAAAAGTTGTTCCTACATAATGGGAGGCAAAGATGTTGGAAAGATATACTRAAAAGAATTTGACCAATCAAGACTAGACCTGTTCATGGGTCGGGCCGAGCCAGGCTTTTACTCTTCATGAATAGAAATTTGTTAGGCCCGAACCCAAGCCTGGCCCGACCAACGGGCCTACAACTTAGGCCCGAGCCTGCCCCTGATAAAAAGCCCAAGCCCGAGCCCGAAGCCCGACGGTGACTATGTTAGCTAGTGACTATGTTCGTCGGAGTTGAGTTCGCGATGACTGTGAGCTGCTATTTTAACAGTGAAAACTGTGTCAATTTGCATCTGAGAGAGAAAGAGAGAGAGAGAGAGAGAGAGAGAGAAAGAGAGAACTCACCGCCGCCGCCGGTGTCTGAGATTTGAAAGATAAGTGAGAAGAAAAACAAGAAAGAGAGAAAAAGAGAGAGAGAGAGAGAGAGAGAGAGAGAGAGAGAGAGAGAAGGAGAGGACTCACCGCCGGAGTTGTTGCTCCGGTGAATGTTCGCCGCCTCGCCGGTTATGTGGCTGCCTGAGAGTGTGAGGACTAAGGAGGATGTGAAGACTGAAGAGAAGAGAGGTTCAGGTAAGGGGAAAGAGGTGAAAGATTAGAGAGGTTCAGCTTAGGGAGTTAGGGTTTTTTAAGTTTAGTCTATAGGTCGTGCCGAGCCGGGCTCGGGCCGGGCTATTTTGGCAAATCCCAAGCCCAGCTCAAATTTATTGCGGGCCGGGCTTTTTGGCCCGGGGTTAAGCCCGTAGACTCATTTGCGTGTTCAAGCCCGTCCAAGGGCCGGGCCGGGCCATGCCGGCCCATGAACAGGTCTAATCAAGACCCCCATGAATTTTGATGAAAACACACTTGATAGATTACTACTTCTATGATATTGGTTGATTGGTTATAAGTTATCCTATGATCATGTCTTTCCAGCATCATATTGAACCTATAGGTGGAATGCATCCTACCAAATGTCTTGTATATATCTAGGGTTTAGGATTTAGGATTTAAGTATGAAAACCAATTTTTTAAAGCCAAGAGATGGTCGAACCAAGTCRGAAGCATTGGTCTGACCAAAAAAGAGTGAAATAAAGCTCACCTTTCTTTTGCTACATGGTAGACATTACAATCACAAGCTGTGCAACAATGTCCATAAAGCAGCAATGTATTAAAAATAGATTAGTGGTTATAACCCATCAGTTGTCCAAAAGTGACAGGTTTGGCAATTCAACCAGGTGGTTTGCTTGTTGCAATGCCCAAAACCATTCAAAACCTCATTACAAGAAAAACGATCAAAGCCGGTGGTCCTTAGGCCTTTAGACTGTCGCCTTAGATCTAAGGTACATGGCGGTCAGGCACCCGCCCCCTTATCAGTTGTCTCCCTAGATTGGGACCGCCAACTTAGATGCAAAAGATCACCGCCTTAGATGGTCAGTCGAAGACGACTCAAATTGATCTATAGTGGCGGTCACACCGAACCACCAGCTTAGCATTAATAAGGCGGCAATTTTGACCACTGGCTCAGGTACAAAAAACCGCACCTTAGATTTTTGTCAAACTCCCCCGTGTCCTTAGGTGGTGGTTCGAACCGTCGGCTTAAATGCTATATGACCGCTGCCTTAGGTGTTGTTTGTGGCCAAACTGGCGGTTGCATGACCGCTGGCTTAGATCTTTTTATTTATTTTTATTTATATATATCAAGTTAATTCTAACATTGTTGTTCACCTACACCTTCATTGATTCATCATTTAACACCTGCTTATTACAAATCTCATGACAATTGATACATAAAAACAACTTATTATTATTATTATTATTATTATTATTATTATTATTATTATTATTATTATTATTATTATTATTATTATATCCAAAACAAATTATTAAAATACAATATCTAATTGACGTAAAAAGTTCAAGGACCTAAAAAAATCAATGAATAATATAGCACATCTTCCTGCAAATCCACTTAACATAATGGTTAAACCTGCAAATAGATGAGATATTAATAGAAAAGTGTATAGAAATAGACATTCAGCTGCACAAAATATTAAAATGAGGCCACCCATGCATTTCCCTCATAGTACAAGGACTTTAAAGCCATTAGTAATGGTAATTCTCTTAGCACTACCTATTAGTAACAATTTTCATTTAGTAGATGTGCTAAATTCATAATTTCTTTCAATGCAAATCAAACAGATACCTGAGGGCTTCTGGATAATAGAACAACATGCCAAAAAGTTCCCCTACAATTCTTCCAAATCTAGTGATGACAATGCAAGCATTGAATATGGCAAGAAGAAACAACCAGAATGTTGGCATTGGATATGGCAAGAAACAACCAGAATGTTGTCCGAATACAGACCCCTACAAAGAGATGTTATCTTAGCAAGACCAATATGTTATATAAAATTATAGGAACTCAAGTATGGAATTTTAAAGAAGTTGTCTCCTATTACCATCTAACCTTAGCCAAGTACAAGGCGGTAGTTCTCTTGGAAAGCCTGGGTCAATTGATGATAGGGGGATCCATAAGGGGCAATGATGTTAACATCTTAATGAGCTATTCAGTCCTAGCTGAAATTGGTAGCTTATTGAGAGTTGAACTTCTAGCACTGTTATAAGGGTTGATAGTTGTGAAGAACATTTGCAAGAATGAGATATTTTGTTTAAGATTATCAAGTTGTGATAGATTGACTACAATCAAAACCACTCTTAGAAAAGCATTAACTTTTTATCTTACAACCTTTAATGTTTGTTCAGCTGGATTTCCAATACTGCCAACAACTTAAAAGATAATCAAGCAAAGATGGAAGTGAATAAGAGTGGATTAGATTGTAGAATACTATGTGGACATCTATGTTGTCCTACTCTTAATCAACTAATGAATAATGTGGATAGTAGATCCCCTGGTAATAGCTTCCTTGTATGGGATTCCAACATTGAGTTCACAAGTGTTTGGGTTATGGTTAAGCTGGCCTCGGGTGCCACATGTCATCTTCGTGGCCGCCTTATCACTTTAGCCACATTGGCACCACGTCATCAGATAAGCATGAYCAAAACAGGAGAGCGTCGTACGGATAAGGAGGACAGCTCCGTCGGGAATTAGGTCTTATCCCGAAGATCTCGGTGAACAACCTCATCCCGACAACCCTGGAAGCCTCATCTAATTAAGAAATGGATCTTTGGCTATAAAAAGGTAACTCCTGCTCAAGGTAAGGGATTCGACTTTTTACTTCTTAGCATCTATACTGTTACTCTGCTCAGACCAGCACTGTCCTCTCACCTGCTTGGCTCAACCACCCACCATTCTTGACTAACTTGAGCGTCGGAGTACCTACCCGGGGAATAACTCCTAGGGCCTTTAACCACTTTGGTTTCAGATCTTGTTGCGCAGCTTCGTTCTTCCACCTCAGCTYTGCCTAATTGGTATGATCATCTAACTGCGATCTCAATTCAAGAAACACCTTGAATCGAGCAGCATCAACAATAATGATAAAATAAGTCAAACTTCATTAAGGAAAAGAAGTACAAATAACATATTAGGTTCCAAAGAAAAGATTATGTTTCAAGAAAAAATGGGTTATGTAATATTCAAATACTTTTCTAGCCAATCTGGTTAATAATTACTCAATACATGAAGTTTTCTATTATTTTATTAATTAAACTTGTTCTTGAAAAAGGGGAAAATGAAAATTAAGATGACATAAAGCCCATTACCCAATGTTGGTCCCAACTATTTGGGGTCTTGGAGGGGTAGCCTGGATATGATCCTAACTTTTGGCATTTAATTATTTGCACAAAGTGGCCAGTCTCAAACTTGAACCCAGGTTATTCTCATGCTTGTTAGCATGACATCTTACCATTAAACCAAAATAGTGGCCCCTAAAATTAAGATGGCATTTGGTATCAAGAAGAGAAACAATCTAGGGTAACCAAATCCTAATAAATGAACTAAAAATTATGGTAAAGTCAATAAAAGAGAAAATTGTTTTCCTCAGAATTGGAAAAAAGAACTTTGCTAAAAGAAGAGAGTTTCCTATCTTGAAGTAACTGGTTGCATACCTGAAACTGTAAAGAATTCCTCAAGATCATCAACAAGCATTGGAACATAAATTCCATTACATCATGCATGTCTGAAAGTGGTTTTACATAGAATGGGGCCTTTATTGTGGCTTACTGGATTTGAAATGAACCCAAAAATCTTTGTATCAGTGTTTTTTCTAGGCTAAATATAGCAGCAATTTTTAATTTGTTTTGATCCCAAACAGTGAATTCTAAAAGTTTTCCACAACTATCATGAGCCTGCTTTCAAACAGGCATCTTTTTACCAAGCTTACTTAATTTCATATCTAAATCTTAGGATGAAATCACTTTTTGATTGGCAATACAATATGAAAATGGAAGGATGAAAACATCTTTAATGAAAATAAATGATATAAATGACCCAAGCATACAGATTAATTAGAAAATTACAGCTTCAAATACTAGCTCAATCTGGTCAATTCATTAAGAAGCATTGTTAGTATGTTCTCATTAGAATTTCACTTTGGTACATAGGAACAAAAGAAGAAGGTAAAAGGCATAGAATCTATACATATCGATTTGGACACAAATGCAACAGACCCAAGCCTGTAATGTTTGCATTGGATTATGTTGTCAATAGTTCCTACAGTGTCACCAATCTTGGAAGCTCCAGCTTGAATGCCTCCAACAGTAGCAGGGCCAATAATAAACTACAAGAAACATAAGAACTAAAGTAGAAAAAAAAAAGGGATAAGGGGAAAATGAAAAAGAAAGATCAACCCAATAGCATTATGCCAATTGCTTCCATTTGTGAATAAGCATTTGGCTTTTGGCCATTCTTTGTCAGAATCATTTGGCATTAGGATAATTCAATAAGTTATTGAAAGTTTGCAACTGAAACCTAAAAGAAATCCCCAACACTAATTCAAAACAGTCTTTTTAAACTCAGTTAAAACTTGTGACTAACTATAGAACACTGTGCCAACTTATTGTATCATTCATTAAAGCATCAAGTATTCAGTTATTCTACATGTCAAAATATTGGAATTTGATTATGTAATGCAAAAGACATTTAAATGAATCTAAAAATTATCTTTTTAAACTCACTAATAGCTTGTGACTAACTATAGAACACCATGCCAACTTATCGTGTCGCTCATTGAAGCATCCAGCATTCAATTATTCTATGTCCAATCAACTGTTTGGCATCTGATTCTAGAACACCTTCAGCTATGATAGTCACAACTCTAATGGTTGGTTGTTTCGAAGTAGACATTTAAGAAGCACCAACACTGTAGAAAGCAAAATAGTTATAGGAAGACTTGTATATTCTAATTTATCAATATTGGGTTTAGGGTTTGAGATTTATTCATTTTCCTTCAATAAAGTAAAAACAAGCAATGAAGTTCAAATACACTGAAACTTTGCTTACAAATTGAAGGCAAACTTCACACTTGGGATGATGCAATTCTTTGAAACAAGGCAAGAGGTATTGATTTTTCCCTCAAACACTACTAGAAAAGTGACCTTTAGCAGCGTTAGAAAATGCCGCTAAATATACGTAAAAGCACCACTAAAGGCTATAGTAGCATTTTTAAATTGCGCCACCAGTACCTATGTCAGTAAAGGTTTTAGCGGCGTTTATTCAATTTTTAGTGGCACATAAATAAATGCCAGTCAAACTGACTTTTAGTGGCRTTTATTCAAATTTTAATGGCACTTATATAAATGCCAGTGAAACATATTTTTAATGGCATTTTTCATCCTTTAGCGGCAGCTTCAAATGTCATATTTAAATTTAACAATGGCATTTATTGTCACATTTAGTGGCAATTCTTTGTGCCACTAAATAGCAACCTCTATAAGGGCACTTATAAGCACCACTACAAGGTCATCTATAGCAGCATTTTTAAATGTCATAAAATATTTACCTATATAAAGGCATTTTTAAATGCCACTAAAAAGTCTTAATGATTCCATTCATTTAGGCTTTAGCGACATTTACAAATGCCGCTAAAGGTCTATATATATATATATATATGCTTAAATATAAATGAAGCAACAATAAAAATGTTGCTTATTATATAGTGCTAAAAGAACCTTTATCACTAACTACTAATTTCATCATGCAAATTTGAATTCAATGCATATTGTATATTCAATAAAAGAAAAAATTAAATAATTACAAATTTTAACCAAATAAACCATTTTTAAATTAAACTAGTTCATTATTAAATGTTCATATATACAAATGTCACTTTGAAGTCAAATCCAGTAATAGAGATTTTCAAAACCAACAAAAATTGTACTTCAAAACACAATACATTTAAGTAAATTATCTTGCTCTATGCTTTTTAAAATTCTCCATCATAGCCAAAAGTATCTTCAATATGCTCCTTGTCAACAATTTTCTGAAAAAGCAATTATATCATATTATAAAAATTAGTCAATTAACATAAAACTGGCTATTAAAGAAGATGTTATAAATTAATCATTATATATTTATAGTGTTATGGATACCCTATTGATTAAGTGTTATGCAATCAGATATTGAATAAGTGTCATGCAAACCATGTTGATAAAAATAAGTGTTATGAGCTAATAGTTGTGTAAACATTGCTGCATTGGTTTGGTAGCGAACCTACATCCATTGGAGAAGATTATTTGAAAGAGTTTCCACCACCAATATGTTTGAAGTATAAGATAAATCTATGAGCTAATAGTTGTGTAAACATTGCTGCATTGATTGGAAAAGTAAAAGCAGCATGGTACCTAAGACAACCTAAAGTTCACCCCAAAATCAAGTAGAAGCTTCACACGCATAAGACACATACAGGTTGTGGGCCCAATCTGTCTATCAACTTCAGACTCTCAAGGCTAAGCAACTCATGTTTATCAAAGACAAGAACTAGAAAACTCTAAGCTATAACATGATAGAGAGATCATTATTTTTAGGTAAATCCATGGGAGAAAGGAGAGTTCTGGTATGAACTGAGAAAATGGGTCCTAACCCACCTTGGGAGAAAATGGTGGAATATGGATGTAATGATGGATATGGCTAGATCCACAGCCTGTCATGTGGGACAATGTGATTGGAGACCAACTTCAAGCTACTTTCCACTTATCATATTTTTAGAACTCCAAACTTTACTCCCAGTAGAGGGGCAGCCACCAGAAATTTTATTAATAATCAAAGAAACAAGAGGCCTGATCCACTTATCATCTCTCCATCATCAAGAGCTGGAATTCTGTTTGGGATAAGCTTAGGAGAGGAAAAACTGGAGGTAATCCACATATATTTTTGTTCAGACCTGTTGAGTGATTTTGGGTTTTCTCCTCTTTCTTTCTCTCTAACTTCCTCTAGAAGTTTTTTGATTCTAGCATATAAAGACATTATTGACTAAGGAAAACATCAAATTAAATCAACAAGGGTTTGCTATTGATCCATGTACGTTCTTTCATTAATTCTTCCAATACCAAGAATTTGCTATTTCTATAGTTTTTGTAACTCTGCCAAATATTCTAAAAATACCTTCATTTAGGTAACTGCTGTAAGTTTTGATTACTTCTTGTTCTACCAAAATTCACTCTAAAACTCTACCTAGAACCCTAATTTTTAGAATTTAGGTTTTCTTTGGGAAGCATATTTTGTGTCCTTGTGTGCATGGCCATATACCTAGGACCTTGTTGAACTTAGTTTCTCCTAAAAATCTCCATTCTATGCCTTCATCCAAAATTTCATTAGTTCCAATAGTATACTTCTTTTGCTCACTTAGAACCCTTTCATAACTTCARGACAAATCTTTATTCTTTCAATAAGCCCAAAGAGCCTTCCTAACCCAAATTTTTCTACCTATTAGCATGAATTGATGCCCAAGTCCTGTTAAACCTTTTAACCAGCTCTACAAAATCCACCTCGAGTTGAATCTTTCATATATCAATTGGAATCATTGTAGTTAATCTTGCATCAATTAGTTGTAAAAACCACAATCAATTATTAACTAAGAACTGCCATCCATGTTTGGCTATTAGTCCAATTACAACCTTTGATATTTTGACTACATAGGTTTCTTCATTGTCTTGCTAATTTGGAAATTGTTTTGTCAACCATTGTTAAATTCTAAATGAGCTATGGAATTTAAGTTCTTTTCAGCTTAAGGGTTCAAGGAATTCCGGACTGAAGTTAGTGGGATAAGATGGTTTTCTGTCTATACTATATGTATGTTGAACTAGCTAAATCCACCAAAAGCAATTATTGTAACAATGTAAAGTTTCCAATCCACATATCATAGTTTGCACTCATATGATGGGATAAGAACAACATATTTTATCACTGAATGAAATTTAGCTAAGCAGAAACTTATAAATCATGATTTAAAAAGGATTTGATAAATGTCAACTCTACCTCTAATGTAGACTTCGAGACATTGGTTCAATGCTGTGGTGAAGAGATCAAATCAAGTGTTGGCGTTGATGTCACCGATTAGTGCTATATGGTAGATTCATAGTCCATACCCAAACAACCTTCCATAAATGAAGATTATGTGAAGAACAAACTTATCCAGTCGTACAGAACATTATAAATTAGTAAATAAGCTTTTAAATAGATAACCATACAAACCTCAAAGATGAGCTAGAGATTTCTGTAATTAAATTAGATACAAACTAGAAAACCTAGAATATCCGAAAAATTGGCAATTTGCCTAATTTGGAACACATTTCATCAAAATGTCAATCTCTTCCTGTCAGTCATATCTAAGCATCCAGACAAGAATAAAATTCTAGCATCCTAGAAGTTGTGAAGTAAGGAACCAGTACAACAACACAAATTTTAATAAAAAACAAAATAAACTCACATAGCACTTAACAAATTATCCACTAGGATTAGAGTCCCCTATTCCAAATCAGACCATGGGACCCATTCCCTAGCAAAAGCATTAGTTTTTTGAAAGATTTCACCATACTTTCATTGTTTCTGTTATCTTCTCAATATCTCAGCATGAAGCATCCAATAAATTGTTGTTTTTGCATTATCAACATATTTGCCTAAATTTTGAGTAACATTAATCTTATTGTGTCTTGAATAGAATTAGAAATTTAACATAAAACAGAATTATAAACTTTGGAAGAGGGAAAACATGAGAATTTTGCTTGAACCCTCCTTAGTTCTCAAACCAAAAGTATCTATATAGATTCCACAACCCAACTTCTACTCAAGCCCATGGCTAGAGAGTTTTGCTCCACACTGTCTTTTGGGCAATAAGAGGAATTGGAAAGAGAATACTAGATACTCAAAAACAAGCAAAATTCAGTTCCAACGGTGATGGATCTTATCATAATTTGAATGGTTTGGTCCAGAAATTAAGGATATTCAAATGTATTATGATGGACATGATGAACATATAAGATTATAAATCAAATGGGAGTACAATCAAACTCAATTTTAACATCTGTCCACTGGGGGACCTAGTCATTTTTGCAAAGTAGGTAAAGATGGAATGAAATATTATAACCATTCTTATTCTATGCCTGTTGGTTTGGATGATCCACTTATGGCAATAATTGGAATGACACTGATTGTAATAATAGTCAAGGAAGTGTTGGAGATATGGTAAAGAGGTTAAGAAATAAAAAGGGAAACTACAATGACACACTATTCCAGCAGTAGTAGACAATAACTTGGACAATACAGACAGGAAGAAACAGAACTTTTGAAGTTAAAACATACTACTCCAGAGGAAGTATAGCCTTGAAGAATGTTAATGGAACAATGACATCATGGAGTATGGAAAATAAGGAGTTTAGGAATACTCATCGTTCTGTGCTATTAATGATTGAGTTGGAATGATTTGGTAATCATTGGCTAAATAACATTATAGTGGCCCCATTCTATCTTTAATAAAATACCTTATCTA